AGAGGTTGCAACAGAAGAGGGTGCAGCCAAGGCTCCCTGTAGGCAGCTGGCAGCATACCGTGGCTTGGGGCATAGCAATGCCTGAGGTCTTGCTCATTCCTGGCAGGGAGAAGGGGTGCCCTGGGTAGGTGATGCAAAGGGCTCTTATCAAAATCAGGACATAGGGTTCTCTGTGCCAGTGTACTGCAGGGCCTGTGCCAAAACCCTGATGGGAGCATTGCAATGAAAAGAAATGCTTGTGGAGGCTGAGCTTCCGCCACACCCAGCAGGGAAAGGCAATGGGTTAGCACTACTGGGAGACCTTCAGGGAATCAGCATGGGGACCTGCCAGGTAGTGCAAGTGCTTTAGAAAACAGATTACTAAAAAAATAATGCTGACATAGAGTTGGAGAAAGAAGTGTTTTTTTTCTCAATAGACAAAAGAAGAAAGTCAAGAAATAGCAAATGCTGTCATGGACATGTGCTTTTGTAAAGTGGAAGAATGGCTGGTGGCTTAAGACTGCTCTTCTGTTCCAAGTGAGCACAGCACACATGGGCAGGTATTTGTGAGTTAGCAGGGCTTGCTATTTTTACTTTCCCAAGATCTGAGCCTATTAACTGAGGAGTGCTGAGACATAAGCAAGAACTACTGGCACCAGGATTTGAACAACAATTGCTAACAGAATAAAAGCAGCATTATCACCAAGGTGGCCAGCATTGTTGGATTAAAGAGCAAGGCTCACTCCCAAATGAGTAATGTTACGTTTCCAGCCCACAGGGCTCTACTTCTGCACCCTGGTGCCCTGGACCAGCCACGTCAGGAGATGCTGCAGCTCCAGCTCCCTTCCAGCCCACGTTCCTGGGGGTTTGCCATGGAAACCAGGATGTGGGCAATTACGACTGCACTGCATAGATTGACGATTGGGTGAGCAACAGACCCAGAAAGGGGGCTGGAACCAAGAGGAAGGTGGAGAGCTGTGTTGCTGCATGGTGAAGGGCCAAACACAGGCTTTCAGAGTCTATAACGAATCACATAAAGGTGCCAGTATTAATAATCAGTTATTCTGTAATTAGCATTAAATATGATCATTTCCAGGACTGGTCCTCTGGAAACCTGGCAGTATATAAAAGAAATGTGCAAATGAGTGAGCTAAAATTTCCATATACTGCAAGCTCTATGCTTTCCATAGAGGAAAGGAGCTGGACTGAAAAGGTCATTCGTAGTCGACAATGGGTGTGATGGAGGAGCTTATGCTGGCATAGCCATTGGTTTAGCTGTTAACAGCATAACCACCATGAAAAGTTAATTCCTCATAGACTCGACCCTGATTTATGGGTTTGTGGAGTAGAAAAATGTAGAAGCAAGAGTGGTGAAACACCAAAGATGGTGAAAGGAAGGAAAGAAGACTGAGCAAAGTAGGGAGGGGAAGAACGAAAGGGAAACCTTCCAGCTCCACGGGCAATCAGGTGTTTCGGTAGGTTTGAGGGAAATATGTGGAGAGCTAAAGCAATAAGACAAGGCCTGTGGGACCGTGGAGACAGATACACACATGCACTTACTGCTGAAGGAGGGGACCTGGAAGAGAAGGGGTTAGTGGGCAGAGACAAGAAGCAGCTGAAAGTCTTAGATACAGAGTAGGTAAGGAAAAAATTTGATTTTTAAAGATTGTTATTCTTTGCTTTTTCTTCCAGGCAAACTGGTCAAAATACATCACTGTCCTGAAAATACTTGGCTTGAGTTATGCTCCAGCTGCCCATCACCTCCTCAGGTCAAGCTGCACCTTCCTAGTACCAGTGGCCCAGGAGCATCTCCATATACAACCTGAGGCCCAAATTAGCCCCCTAATGGCACTCAAATATTTTCTGTGCTTTGCACAGCCCTGACCACGACACCTCTCTGTCCCTGCCCTTCAGGTTGGGGGAGCTATTTGGGGTTGAGTCCAGACCCACAAGCTCACTCACCCTTTAAGCAAGGTTTGCAGCAGGGGGGGATCTTAACCTGTGTAAAGACAGCTTGGACGATTGTGCCTCCAAGGCAGTGAGTCCAAGTGCAAACCATGTGTGATCTGAATATCCTCCTCTTACACCTTGGAAACCCTGATAAAGCTGCCTCTGAACCACATATGTGGAACAGACGCCAGGACTGGGAGACAGAGGCACCTTTTTTACTCCTTGGGAGCACTTGCTGGAGTAAGTGACATCTGGCTGGGGCACAGCCAGGTCATCGGGCCAAAGGCTTGAGCCCCACAGCTCTCCTAAAGGCACATCTACTTTTAAGCGCTGTGTATACAAAGTGGTGTGTGTTAGCCTCGGTAAACAACGTAGCAGAGAAGGCAAAGCAGAGCTGTGTGACATTTGATGTGCTGCCTCCCGTCTGGGGGATAACAGCCTGGTGCTGTCCTTAGCAGGACAAAATGCTCCTTTAAGGCAAATGACGGAGAAACATCGACTGGCACTGTATTGCCAGGATTTAGGCCAGCTGATGAAATCATAGAGTCATACAGACGCATAGAATTAACTAGTTTAGAAAAGGCCTTTAAGATCATCAAGTCCAGCCTTTACCCCAGGACTTCCAAGTCCACCACTATAGTGTGTCACTGAGGCTCTCATCTACATGGTTTGTGAACACTTCCAGAGCTGGTGATTCCACCACTTCCCTGGGCAGCCTGTTTCAATGCCTGAGCACCCTCTCAGTGAAGGAATTGCTCCTAATATCCAGCCTAAACCTCCCCTGGTACAGCTTGAGTGGGAGGTCCTATCACTTGTTACTTGGTAAAAGAGACCAGCCACCTCCTCTCTCCATTGTCCTTCTCAGGTAGTTGTAGAAAGTGGTAAGGTCCTCCCTGAGCTTTCTCTTCTCCAGACTAAACAAGCACAACTGCTGAAGGGCTTGATAAAATAGATAGGATAATTCTTCCAAGTAATTTTTGCCCATATGTTGCACAGCATATAATGAAATAAGAAGATTCAGCTAAAGTTAACCAGCAGTTAACTTTTTTTAAGGCAGTGATCCCACAGAGCTGCACATCCTCTTGATGCATACCATCTTTCAGGCATTGGCCTGAGCTGTACCTTAGATTGCGTTAGGCCTTTGCCATAATTTCTAAGAGCTGATCTTTGTAGATCCACTTCAATGGGAAAAATTAAAAAACCCAAAATATTAATGTAATTAAGGGGCTGGGGCATGTGATGCGTGCTGGAGCTAAGAAACACAGTCAAAAGCACAGGGACAATAGGTATGACAAGGACAATGGAAAGGCAGCAACAGGATCATCATCTGGATGATGTTTTGCAGCCTGTCTTTGCTGGCTGGAGAAGCCAGTCAGTTTTTAGATTAGAAATCAAAAGGTGGGTGCTCACTGCCATGAGATTCTGATTGTCAACGATGTGCGTCAAATCCTGCAATGCACCAGTGACCTTGTCAGCCCCCTCTTGGACCAAATGCCCCATGTGCATCTCCCAGTGTGAGTGCTCTTGCTGCCTCCTTCTAAATGGATGCATTTTTGTTGTCATGGCCATCTTCCTCAGCTATTTGCTGTGCTTGTCAAGGTCAATCAACTCACTCAGGAGTGAGCCATTGTACAACAGGGTTAAGGCAATGCTGAGCAGAGCAGGGTATGAAATGATTGGTCACAGCAGTCCTGACCAATGTACAGAAGCAGTGGAGTTGATGTGGGAGGGCTGTTGCAGTGGAAAAGGCTCTGCCCACCTCGTAATAGTCAAAGGGATAGCATATGGAATAGCCTAAGGAATTAGCCTTCAGGATAGCCTATGGAGTAGCCTCCAGGACAGCATACAGGATAGACGGCATCCTTGAGGATAGCTCACAAGATAGCTCACTGAATAGCCCTACAGTGGCAATGGCTCTCTCCTGGAAGACTTCAAGTGGTTGCTTCAAGCTGGCAGAGGAAGGATGTGAAGCAAAGGCTTGCACCTCCCGGTAGTCACCTTGCTGCTGGCTCTGAGGGCAGTAGGAGTACTGCCAGCTTTGGTCTGAAAGGCCAGCCTGGCTCTGGCTCCTGGACTGGCTCCAGGACCCTCTCAGCCCTGCTGGCTGTTATGAATCCCCTTCACAGGACGAATGAGCCTTGCCTGTGTGTTGCAGCGGAGAGCCAAGGCTGTACACCATACAGTAGCCTGCAGGGCCATGTTGGCCTCCTCTGTGGGTCAGTTGTGTCTCACTCAAGCTGCAGCAAAGCCTTGGGGTGAGAAGGGAAGGCAGCGGCAGCCCCACTCCCACCAGCCCAACTCTCCCAGACCGCAGCACAAGAAAGGCTGGGGACTGCTCCAGCAGAAGCCTCAGAAAACCCCAAGAACTAAGCCTCACAGGACGAGCTGTGCATGCTTGCAGCACACCAGACAGCCTCTCCCCTGCGAGGGTGGAGGAGCCTCTGCCTCCAAAGCTCTCTCCCTTCCGTGACAGAGTGCCGCCCGCCACTGCCACTGCCTCAGCTCCCCACAGGCGCAGGCACTGCAGCACAGCACAGACACGCAGCAGATGGCATTTGGCATCTGCTCAGAGAATCGACCGTCGGCTGCTTTGCTCCCTCCTGGTTTTTGGCTGTGCCTTCCCGTGAGAGATGCCTTTGCCAGGATACTTCATGTTCCCTTAGATTACAAATTTCTTCTCTCCGGGGGTGGTATGAATGGTGTTGGGCAAGAGCATGGGCTTTACACTTTCTTCGTGATTCTGGGGCTTACAGGGGGAAAAAAAGCTGCTGCTTTTTCTTTCCATCCTTGTAATGATGACAGGAGCAATGTGGAAATAAAGCTGCTGAGTTTGGGTTGAGATAGTCCATGCCCTGGCTGCAGAGGGTGACTGAAAGGACACTTCCAGCTCAGGGCACAGCTGGGAGCCTGTCTCACTGCTTGCAGGGTCGGAGCAGCTCACCAGAAGGGTCAGCGCTAATTAATAATTGCAGCCCTATTTCAGCATAAAACCGAATGAGGTCTCTCACCACCCTGGTGAAGGTTTTCCCTCCCCCATCCCACCCAGGAGATAAGTGCCAGTTGGTTTTGTGTGTAACAGGAGCTGGTCAGCCCCAGGGTCAGAGCTACCATGGGGATGCCCAGCAGCTCTCAGCCCTGAAGCCAAGAGGGGTTGTTGCTATGGGAATCAAGAGGGTACTTGCAGACAGCAGCTGGAGCCCGTGTCTTTCCCTGTTCAAGGCAGCTGGATTTGGAGAGAAGCAAAACTAAAAGGAGGTGACAGAGAGAGACAGAGGCACAGCAAAATTCATGCATGTTAGAGGAGGGACCTTCCCAGAATGAGAGTACAGTGGGATACAGAAGAGCAGGGACACCAAACTGTCAGGCAGCGGTGGCTCAGCTTGGTAGGATAAACCTAATTTTCTCCTCTGTTTGTTGCTGGAAAAAAGTCCAGTGAAAACCCAGCTGTAGCAAGATGGGATCTGCCTCCTCAACTTACCGGTCCAAGTGTATTTATTTGGATATTGATGGAAGAATTCAAAAGGTACTTTTGCTGTTTTTCACAAAGTAGCGTCTCCGGACGCAGCAGCGGCTGCGGGCTGTGTGTGCGGCACGACCTATTTCTGTAACGCGAGTTAGAGCCGTGCTCGCCTTCAGCGCCGTCCACACGGCATTCAGTGGGCTTCAGATCTCTTTTTAAGGGGAAGCGGGGGGGGGGGGGGGGGGAATCTTGAGCGGCGGCCGCTTTGTACACAGATGTTTATTTAAAGGGGAAGGGGAGGCTGGCAGGCAGCAGGGGAGGGCTGGGCACTGCCAGCGCTCACTGGAGGTCCGCGGTTCAGCAGCCGTGCAGGAGCGTTGTGATGCGTTTACAAAGTTTTTTGCCTGTGGAGAGGTTTTCACCCCAGCAGTGGGAGCGTGGAGCACAGAGTGCGCCGAGTTATGTGGAGGTTGCTGTGGGGGGGCTTGAGCAACGGGCATTTTAGTGTTTTCCTACCATCAAGCTGGGCGGCAGGCGGGTGCCCGCTGCTGTGCGATGGGGTCGCCGCTGCCTTTGCACCTTGGCTCATAAATGGTGATAAACCTTCATTAATTAAAACTTTCATTTCCATTAGCCTGCCCTGTTTGCTTAACCACGGTTCACAGCACAGGGAAAACTGCGGAGAGAAATGTATTCTGGCTAAGAGGGAGAGCTCGCACGCTGTCGAGCTGACAGCACACTGCTTTTAAACAGAAACAATGCCGCTCCGTTTTTGCAAGTCTCTTCTTTCTTCTTTTTGACAGCGATGCTTGGCCACAAACCAAGTGCCTTTTTTGTAATAGAAGGCCGCTTGTGAGGCTCAAGAGAAAGTAAACTCTCCGAGTTTCAGAATTCAAATATCTCTCTCTCATCTTCCTGCTCTAAATTTCTTTTCACCCAGCCTCGCCTTTTGTTTCTCCTTTAAAAAGAAACAGCAAAAATACCCTTTCCCTTCCCTCTCCTTTGCTACGAGAGTGACAGCAGAAATGAGGTAAATGGAGAGCTAGTACTCACAGTCCCGTCCCACCGTGCACACCTCCGTTGCCTATGGTGCCTTGGAGACCCACCGCTACTGCCAAAGTCGTGTCCTCAGGAACAAGACCTTGGAGAATCCAGATATGCACCAGTTCCCCAGAGCAGGCTGCTCCTCTTCATCCATCTTGGGGCTTAGACATGACAGTGATCCCTCTGCTGCTGCGGGCTCCTCTGTACCAGTGGGCAGGAGCGTGCTGGCTCTGCTGAGCTAAAGGCACTGCTTCTCTATTGCTGGGGCTTAATGAGTTGGTTGCCTGACGGTCCCCCACAGAAAGGCTTGTACGGAGCTCCCTGGCATCTTTACAGTTCAGTATGAAAATGTTTCAGCATTTTGAAAGGGTGGTGAGTGTTTCCATAGATGTTGGTAAAGCACGTTGTCATCTATGCTGGCTTAAAAAAGCCCAGAAAAGCATTTCTCAGAACCACTCTCTGGTGAGTGCTTTTGACACTAGAAACACAGAAGAGGCACAATCGCATGAGCAAGCAAAGGCAAACTCAGGCGGTATTAGGGGTATTTTGCTCGATGAATGTTATCTGTTTCTTTTGTCAGATGTGAAATTCCATCTGTGCAATGTTTGGAAGGATTCTTGCAGTAAAAATGCTGTGTAAATGGGGTTCACCCAGGGGTAAACAGGGCATATCTCAGATTCTCGTGCCTCCTCAGTAACAACATCATTAGAAAGAAATAAAAACAAAAATCCAACCTTAATCTTCCGAGGAATGCAGTATTGGAGCCTTCTTAGAGGGAACTCATTAAATCAATGCTAAGCTACTCATCAACCCAGTAATGAGGCATGAGCTTCATTATAACAGCACTTGTTGGGTTTGAAAGGGCTCAGGTCCAGCTTGCAATTGTCTTGCTGAATATCTCAGAGTTGTACAGTAGAACTGGGCATCCTATAGTGCTACCTGTGATGGCAATTATGCACAGGAAATTTTGTGTTTCCATGGCCTCATCGCAATTTCTCCTGGTGTAGCCTCAGGGCGTGCTACTGACTTCAGGTGAAGTTGTTTTACCTCGACACTGGGGTAAACAAAGGGGCAAACCAGAGAGCCTCATGGTACCTCCCCTGGGAACCTGAGCTTTGCAGATGAGCACTTGAAAGTGCTCTGCAAAAGGAGTGATGAATTAAGCTAAGTAGGTTTGTGTGCTGGCAGGTCCAGAGGGGCGATCATTGAAGGAGAGTTTGTTGGGTTGGAACCCCTTCTCAGAAGTCATTGAAATGAAGGAGGCACCATCAGCAGGGGTTGAACACTGGACTGTGCAAAGGGCAGCATGTCCCAGAGGAAGGGCTGAGGTCCATACCTTCAAGGCCAGTGCCATGAACACCCAAGAGTCCAGCAGCTTCCTGCCAGCATCCTCCTGTGTGAGGGTGGTTGGAAGCTGGGAGCAGAGGGGAACCCAGCCCAGCAGTGTTGGACATCACTCTATTATTACACTGGAAAAGCCTTGCCTCACCTCCATAACTTCCTTGGCTCCCACCCTTTCCCCTCATCCCATCCTGCCTTTGCCCAAAGAGGGTCCCAGTCATTTGTTACAGTTTGATAAACTGACTTTTCAGAGGCATAGACAGGCAGAAACTGGTCTTCACCAAAGCTGGCAGCAGGGACAGGCTCTGCTCCAGTGGGCAGGTGGCTGAGCATCTACTCATGCTCAGGGACAGGCAGCAAGGGCTTTGGGATAGAGATGAGATGACCAAGCCCAGCAAACACTAACCATGGTACCACCACAGGCATCTGAGCTCAGGATCTCCCAAGGGGTGGCTTTTGTGTCCACCAAGGGAGGGATTTGGGCTGCTGGTACCTGTGTCCCAGCCAAAGGGCAGGGAACGGGGATCTCCTGTGGGGAGGTCACCTGCAGAACTGGTGAAGGTAGAGGCAAATGTAAAGTAGTAGATGGAGGGAGCAGCCTTGCTGAGGCTGCAGGAGAGGGAAGATCAAAGGTTTCATGGTGCTACAGCTGTATGCCAAACCGGGGCTCTGCGCAAACCGGCTTCAAAGAGGCCACTTGTTTCAGAGCTGATTGAGAAATGAAATTACAACACAATGTGCTTCCTATCCAGTGCCTATGTAAAGAGGATGCACACCTGGGGGAAACACGTGGCCGTGTTTCGCATAGGATACCGTGATCTTGCAGTACCACTGAGGACAACGATTTCTCCTTGTTCCTGGAATGCCACTAGATGGGGTCAAGCACCCAAACCCCCAGCCTGACAGCAAAGAAGTGAGGTTTGCTCTGGCAAACTTAAGCCGGATCTGGAGTCTTTATTTTCCTTCATGATGTTATTAACCCTTTGGCTGTGTTTTTAAGAAAAATCCCTATTGAGTATGTTTCGAATTAAAAATCCACCAGCAAGAAAATATTCTCCAGCTCATGCCCAGCTTTTTTTCCATGAGGAAACTACTGGCAAACGTTTTTGTTTGACCTTTGAGATTTAAACGGTAGCAAAACTGAACCAGCCAGTGGCCTTATTCCCTGATGGGTGGCTTCATGGCTCTCATTTTCAAATGTCACAGGGTAGTGGCTTTGCTGACAGAGTTATAAGGAGTTTCTCTGAGAAGAATGTTTAATTTGAGAGGATTTCTGCTTCCAGTGTCTTAATCAACATCATATTTGTAACAGGGATGGAAAGTCAGAGGGGCACAGAGCCTGAACTAACTGGAAAAAAGAAAAGGACCACTGCCTTTGTCAAGGATTCTATGAGATCACCCAGGGTGGTATTTGCTTCCTCTTCAGAAAGCAAGTGAAGATTTTTGGAGTCATTTTGCTGCTTTTCTGAGTCATTCGGGATGCCAAACAGAGAAATTACTTTATTTTCCCTCAAGGAAATGTATTGAGTTCAACATTTCCGAGTGTCTGCTGTACTGACCTGTGGAGTAGGACACTGTCTCTTCCACAACCATTGTTCCTCTTGGTCTGAGGTCCACAATGAACAGAGCAGCGCCAAGACTGGGTTTTGCTGCTGTGGTTATTGCGCTGAAATGTCAGTGCACAGGAATCATTCCTGTCATGTGAGCTTTCCTTTTTAATTAGAACAGCAACTGTGGTGTAAATGCTCAGGCTGTAGCAAACCCAACAGATTTTTCCGAAGCACGCTGTGCTATTTTTAACACGCCAAACTGGATTCAGGGTGAAAACAAAACACAGCAAAAAAATAATGGCGTGGCCATCAGTTCAAGGCATGAATGTATTTTTGGGTGCCGGTGACTGTCTCAGTGCAGCAGGGCAAGCATGCTCTGCAGTGCCCGTACACCTCATTCCCTGTCTGTTTGGACTGGGGATTTAGAGCTACACGTTTCCAGCCGCCAACCATCAGAATGGTGCACAGCAGGGACACGGACACCTCCAGGGGCCGCTCTTCCTGGCTGGTGTTCCCAGGTTCTTCCTATGCATGGACAAGCCAATGAGGCGTAAGCACAATGAAGCATAAGTATGTTTTTGTGGGATCAAGGCCATTTTCTTAGTGGTGGCAGATGTCTGTGAGTGAGGGAGTGTGCAATGTAGCACAGCCTAAGTCTGGCCAGTGATTTTGGCTAACCTTGCCTCTCCAATTTCAGCTGGCCCCAGTGAATTCAAGGCTGCTGCTAGATGTTCTTGTTTTAAAGCAGCATGAAATGAACAGCAGGTTCCTGAAACTCCATTACATTACAGCACATAAACACTTTAAAAAGTAAAAATGGCTTAAACCCATGCTTTTAAAAAAGTGAAAGAAAATGTCAGACTTGAGGCCTCTCTCTCCCTTACTCCCCCTTATCTTTCCTCTCCAGCAAGGGATCCTCAGGACATACAGGGAGCCAAACCATAATCCCAGAACATCTCCGTAATTCCAGCATAGCTCTATAGTTATTCTGTACTCATCACCCAGAAAGTCCTGTTTATTGCCATTTATCTTTCTGAAGTCACACACAGTCTATTATAGTTATTACAGTGAAGGTTCACGTTACCCAGGACAATGTGTGAGTTTAACACTCTTGTACTAGCATTACCT